AGGCGCTGCGCGGTGAGCGGGGCGGCGGGAGGGCTCCCCGGCCCGGCCGGTTGTCTTTGCCGCCGCCTCTGTCCCGAGGGGAGGGGTCCGGCAGAGTGTCAGCCTCCGCGGGGCTAAATGGCGCTGGGGCACCGGCGCCGTGGTAAAGCTCCTCTTTGTTCCCTCCCGCAGACCATTACAAGCACCACTGGTTCCCCCTGGCGCCCTCCAAGGGCTCCGGGTACCGGTGCATTAGGATCAACCATAAGATGGACCCCTTGATAGGAAAGGCAGCGGGGATGATTGGGCTGAGTCACGAGAGACTTTTCCAGCTCTTACCCAGCGAATTAACTCTTTGGGTCGACCCTTTCGAAGTGTCCTATCGCATAGGGGAAGATGGGTCTATCTGTGTCCTTTACGAAAGCCCCCAGCCTGGAGGGAAGACAACCAAACCGCTGGAGAGTAGGACCAGCTGTAAGGAGGAGTGGAGAATTGGCAGATCCAGCCCTTCCAAGAATTACAACATGATGACAGTTTCTAGCTAAATATTGCCCTTCCTTGTACAATGATGTATGTATCCCAATCCTATGGTAAATGTAGATGTAACAGATTTTGGGGTTTTAATTCTTTTTTTCCCCCATAGTGATTAAAGTTGTAGTAGTACTGCCAAGTTCTTTGTGGCCAAGGACTAATGTATAAAGCAGTTCTTTACACTGCATGTTACTTTCTGGATTGTGTACTGTAAATGCACTGTACAGTCAGTTGATTGTTTTACACATTTATATTTTCAAAGGATTTTTGGCTATTTGTAATAAAAAGCAATATTGTAGCATTCTTTATGATGGATTTGGGTTAAAATTAACACTTGTGAAAACATTCCTCAATTTGCAGAGCAATAACGTGGAAGGGGGGTGGGAAACACATCTAACAAGCTGCACGTAAATCTTGCCGGTGACTTGTCTGCACAGACTTCTCTCAGGGTCATTCAGGTTTGGCTGCAAGGCACAAATCACAAAAGTAACTCTTTATTTTTCCTTTCTCGAGGCGTGTGTTTATTTCAGGGCTGGATGCCGTCATCCCCCAATGTTTTGACAAAAATAATCGGGGAATTAGTTTGTCTTGTTATTTGTAGTTATTGGAGTAGAACAATAAAGGCTTGCTCAAACTGCTTTTGAGTGTTTGTTTTCTCCCCCTGCCTTGCTCTCAAAGCTTACTCTGGCTATTTCTGATCATCACAGATAGCTTCACCGCTAGAAAGGCGTAGCTCTGAACATTCACCTTTGTTTCAGATCACCACTAAATGCTTAGTTTGCTGGCTGTGTGTCTCTAAGTAGAGCTCAGTGGGGTGCGTAGAGCTGTGTTTCAGCATGTGCTGTATCAAACTGAATGGAAGCAAAAGGACTCTTGTAACATTTCACCTGTTGCAAAACAGTAAGTTTGAGGTTTTCGGGATATAGAGTTTGTGTTTAAAAATTAAAACCCATTTGAGAAGCTAGAATGAAACACTGGTCATCAACAGTGTGTAACTACCTGGACTTTTGCGGAAGTTGAACTGCCATTTCTGGTCTTGTATTCCCTCCCATTTTGTCAGTGTCTCTAATTTGGGTACGGATTTAGTCAAAGTATCAAACATAATGGATTTGATAAAATAATAAAACTTTGTGCTGCTGGTTTATGCCAAGACTCTTAGTTTTGATGTTCCAGTAAAGGCTTTAATTTGCAGGCACTGTGATTCGTATTTTAAGCAGCAGTGGTCTTTAGCTGTAGAAGGCTGCAGTGTGTCTAACATGGCTGGGTTTTGGTAGCCTGGTGTTCAAGCACTGTTGAATATTTGATGAAAGAGCGCTTTGTCTGGTGTTAGTGTGTTGCCAAAAAAAAAACTTGCACTATGTCAATAGCATGGTAAAACGCAGAGTGAAGGAAGGACAAGTCTGGGCAAACTGGAAAGGGTAGAACTCCATCTCGCGTAGAGGGGTTTTTCTGTTTGCGTTGTGGAAAAGCTGTGGCTTACTTCCTGCTATTTGCCTTGTTATTTTTGGGGCAGGCTTTGCTAGTAATAGTTTAATCTGAACGACACACACGGTGCCGCTTTCTTAGTAATTAAAACTTGGTAAAAACTGACTGTGTATTTCTAGTCTATCACTCCAATAAATAAGTGTCTGGGTTACTTTAACAAATGGCTGTTAAAGGTCTCGTGGCAAATTGCCTTTTTATTATACAAGATCAACAGTTGGTTCTCACAATACTGTTTTTTCCTCTCGGGGAGATAATAACACTTTTTTCCCCTCTGGTAAAATTACCTGCACTAAATATTTATTTCCTCTAAGGGCCATATTTGACATATTTGTCAGTACTTGAACAGAATAACTTTAAATCTGCTAAGGGTGAGATGCCCTCTTTGATTAAATTTAATTGGAAAGGCATTTGGCCTTGCTGCACATGACATCAACAGCCTATCTGAAAAGATGTAGCGTGAAGTTTTTAGCTTATCAGTGGATTTTACAAGCATTTAAGGTGGAATTAAAGATGGCTTGGTACATGGCATATGATTTCCAGCTGCTGGGTGTGGTTTGACATGAAGTAGGGAGCAGCAGATGTTTCAGATGTTCTTTTCTTGCCTTAAGTGTGTCGCTGGAAGAGCAGAGAAGAGCCTGGATTAATTCAGCCGTGGTGGATTCTGTTGCTTCTTATTTATTAATCCTGCTGTATTCAATGGGATTATTTCTCACGTTACAGAGTATCATGTCTCAAGTGTCCTGTTCTCTCTGCAAGTTTGATATTTGGCATTGAATGGGATGTTTTTGTTAGGGTAATTCACGTTCTATTTCACATAATTAAGCTACAGAGTTGAAGCTACTCTGCTGACAAGCAGGTGGAGGAGACAGGGTAGCCTGAAGGAAACCCACTGGAGCAAATAAAATACCTGAGCTGCACGTGAATATGCTGTAATATCTGTGACATCTAGAACTACATTCCATTGCTTGAAAGAAGATGGCAAAGACCTACTAACAGCGCAGAGGCTGTTCTGACGGAATAGTGCTCTCAGTAGTAAGCCAGGGAGGCTGTGGTTTGCAGGAAGTAAGTACAATTACCTTTGCATTTTCCCTAAAAGGTGATGAGTTTTGTGTTCTGCCATTACAACAAAGAAGCCAGAATCTGAACATACTTAAAATGTCACACAAGACTGACCACATCTGATCTGTCATAGCTTAGGACGGAGTGGTGTGCATGCTGTAGGAAGAATTACTACTGCATGCGAACCTCTTTGGAGCGGTAACTATGTATGGAGTAAGGGTGTATTTGTTTGTTCTTCTGCCTGTTTGTATGAAGATGGGTTAACTCTTAGATTAGCAGAGCTGAAGGAAGAAATGTTTAGAGGAAAAACCATACATTTACCTGTTTCTCCAGAACATTGCCTTGCTGCAAAGGCAATTGAGAAACATTTGTCTGCGAGTTGTAAGATCCAAATGAGACGGAAAGTCCCACTAGTCTGTATAGCCTGACCACCAGGGTACTGCGATTCCTGTACGTTGCACTCTTGACTTGTTACTGGCAACTGAGAGTACACAGGTGTCTAGTTTTGGTCTGAAAGCTTCAAGAGCTAAAAAGGTATTGTCTGTATTTGTTTCAGTTTCTATCACCTTTAGTGTTAGGCAAGTTCAAATATGAAATTTGGTATGGTTTTTAAGTTTAATTTCTAAACACTGGTGTCCTTAATTTCTTTATCCTCAAGATGAAAGAACCTTTCAGTATGGCCTCTTGTATGTGCTTTGTACAGCAATCAAATTAAGTCTGTTTTTATTTAAAGGATTAAAAAGATTAAGCTTTTTAAGTTTGAGCATAAATAATTTTCTTTTAACTGGGGTTTACATTTATGTGTTTTGCAAACACTCATTCTGTTTTTTCAAAAATGTGCGTGAGAATGTGTTCTCAAGAAATGAGTGCAGTGAACCAACTGATCCGATCACACTGTTCCCACCATTATTTGCAATTCCACCGGCACTGCTGGTACTGTGATTTTTCACTTCACTGAGGACAATGTACAATTACTTCAGATCTAGTACTGACATAATTGCTAAATATGAGGTCTTACCTAATTTTTAATTCACTGAATGCATTCTTTGCGGTGTATTTTTATTTTGTTTAGAACACCGCATGTTTTAGGTGAAGTACCTTATAAAAGCCTAAATACTTAGTGTTACTACAGTTACTTTCACGAAGGACAAAACCTGAGTTTAACAGGATAGCTATTATATAACAATGTGTTGGCTGACATTAATGGTATTGTTCTCCTTTTCTTATTTCTTATTATGAAGTGAATCAATACTTCATTAACTTCCTTTTTACATTTAATCCATGACTAAAAGCATTATAACTCTCCTGCAATTATTAGTTGTTACTTTCTTGTATTGTACCTACTCAATTTTCCTAGTTTTTTTCAGAGGCATGTGCTCTGTTTTTCTAGAAAATTTCTAGTTATTCCCACATGCATCAGAAATAGACCCTGGGGTCCCACAGATAGGTTTAGGCAGTTCTCTTACGCATTTTTCTACACCTTGGTTTTCCTTCCAAAAGCTTAAAAATTACTATCTTGTTCTTACATGTTTTAGTCATCAGTATATTGGAAGTACATTATCCTCATGTAGCAGAAAATTATCCACATCATCAGATACAGACAGACAATATTGATTGAACGCATACAGCTTACTGCCTCACGTCAGCAGTTTTACTGTCTTCATCTTTTTAGTACTAGAACTTACTTACTTGCTGATGTATCTGTAAAGGTCATTGCTTTTGTGTGGCTGTTTTTCCTAGCTATTTTAACCCTGGATTTTCCTTTCATGTTTTTAGCTTTTCTGATTGATTTTTTTTTTAACTTCACAGTAATCTATGTATGTTTGCTTTCTTTTGTTTCAACCCCCCTGTCCCCCATCCCTCCCACCCCTATGGTAAGGGGTGTGATTCAGAACTTTGCTGTCGTCTTAATTCCTGCCTTGTCTTGTATCAGCGTACCGTCACAGCAGGCATCACTTTAGCTTTGTGCAGTTCCTTCAGGCTGATGCCTATTGCCATGGCAGGATGGGAAGACCAATATCGTTGGGATTATAGAGGTGTCCTGCTTCTTGAGTAGTAAAGTTGATACCTGTTACTGTCACCATGCTTACTTTTTATCAATTATTGTTTCTTGCGGTACCGGAGTCACTCTTGATAGGTTTTATGCTGTAAAAGCAATAGGCCCACCTATTTTCAGTGTTTTCTGGCTGGGGACTGTGTTTATTTCAGTAATAAGTGATATTTTTGCTTTCCATTATAAGGCTATGTAAAATTTTCATTGAGAAGTAAATTGCTGATTTTAGCTTGTAATTTGGGTAACTTCTGGGGGTGAAGGGGGCAATGTATTTTAATTGAAATGGAAATGGCTTGAAAACCTTTCATCTGCTTGGAAGAGTCACCTTGCACTGTGAGATTCAGCCACTCCTCACTTACGATCAGTGTAACTAATAGATTTCTGAAAAGCATCAGGAAGCAATGAGAATGCAAATGA